ACTTTTTTTTCTCAGTTTCGAGCGCCTCTTCCAAATGACATTCGGGCCGTCTTCGGGCGTCCAGCGGTGGTCTGGGCCGCTTGCTGCCATGTTCGATCGTTTTGGGAGTCGTTTGGGCCTTGTGCCGGTTGTTTGCGGTCATTTTGTGTTAATTTTGGGGCTGTCTTGGGCCCTCACGTGACCGTGTTGGGGTGACATGAAGCGCGTTTGGCTCATCTTGGAGCGCTTTCTGGGACCGTTCCAGCGTTCTCGGACGCTTGGAGGCCCGAGTGAGCGAGCATCCGAAAATCATACGAAAACAATGAAACATCCATGTTTTTCCGAGTTTCGAGCGCCTCTTCCAGGTGACATTCAGGCCGTCTTCGGGCGTCCAGCGGTGGTCTGGGCCGCTTGATGCCATCTTCGATTGTTTTTGGAGTCTCTTGGGCCCGTGTGCGGGTTGTTTTGCAATCATTTTGGGCCAATCATGGGGCCGCCTGTGGGCAATTTGGCGGCCGTCTTGGGCCCTCATGTGACCGTGTTGGGGTGTCTGGAGGCCCGCTTGTGACGTCTCGGAGCGGACTTCAATGGTTCTCCAGCGTTGTCGGATGCTTGGAGGCTCGAGTGAGCGAGCATCCGAACATCAAACAAACAAAAATACAAAATCACTACGTTTTTGAGGTCGAATGCCTCGTGGGGGTGACATTCGAGCCGTCTTCGGGCCAAGGGCAACGTGAAACCATCTTCGACCGCCTTGGGCGTCTCATGGGCCTTGCGCCGACCGTCTTGGGACTGCCACCCGCCTGTGTGCACGGATTGGCAGGGATTGCTCGACCGCCCCCCGGTGCCAGGGATGGCGTCTGGCCAGCCCGAAAAATCCCAAATTCGTTCGGGGGGGTGGTCGGCGAGGTGGGCGGGGTGGTGGGCCTTTTCCAGGGTCCCCCCCGGCCGTATAGAAATATATGAATAAGAATATAGATGGTCACCATGGTCACCCCCTTCCCCAGCACACCCGAAACCACCAAAACAACAAAGCATTAACTCAGCGTTTTATCCAGCTCCTACTGTGGTCTTCTTCTCCTTCTCCTCCTCTTTCTCCTCCTCCTCCTCCTCCTCCTCCTCCTCCTCCTCATATCCCCCTCGTCCTCCGCATCACCTCTCATCCTCCCCCTCAGCCGTCTCCTCTGCCGCATTCCTCCCCATCCTCTTCCCCTCTTCGCAGACAACGTGCCAGGCAGGACAGTCAGTGGAAACACAGCTAAGATGTAGTTTGAATGGTTTCGGTAGGGCAACCCTGTGCATACACAGGTGAAGCATATTAGTTGAATGATTTTGGAAAGAAAGCCCGATGAGCACGCAGATAAACAATCAGGGCGTTGGGAAGAAAGGCGAGCTACAGGGAGGTCGGGGAAGCAGGACGAGGATGCTCCTCCTCCCTCCACTGACAACGTGTTTCCAGGCAGGAAGTCCAGTGAAAACAGAGATGAGATATATAATTCATATGGTCTTGGTTAAAGGAACCCTGCGAAAGCACAGACAAAACATATATTTCAAGGCTTTTGAGAGATATGCGAGCCACAATGAGGGTGGGGAACCAGGAGGAGGATGCTCCTCCTCCTCCTCCTGCTCCCTGTACAGATAACTTGCCAGGCAGGACACTCGCTGAAAACACATACAAACCATATACTTTCGATGGTCGTGGCAAGGACGAGTGGGCCTTGTGAAAACGCACATGACAAAATGTGCTTGGTAGCTTTGGCAATGGATCCTTGTAAACACAAGTACAGCTTAGGATTCAAGGCTTTCCTTGAGAAGAGCGTCCATCCTCCTCCTGCTCCCCAGAAATCACTTTGGCTAGGCGTTATCCCCAAAACCTACATTTTTCGTAGCACCCCTCAGATGCGGATAAGAGTGAAGGGGCGGCGGGGACGTCTGCAGTCTGCGAGCATCATTTCTACAAATTATACAACGAGCTCACCACAGGGGTGGATTTTCCCCTGAAGCAAATGTGGGTATGTCGCGAGCGAGTCGCGGGCTGTGTCGCAGGTGGGTCGTGGGTGGGTCGCGGGTGGGTCGCGGGTGGGTCGCGGGTGGGTCGCGAGCTGGGTCGCGGGTGGGTCGCGGGTAGGTTACGGGTGGGTCGCAGGCGGGTCGCGGGGTGGGTCGCGGGGGCCTCTGGGGCTGCTTGGGGGCGGACCTGGAGACCTCCTGGGCCGTCTTGGAGCGTCGTGCAACCGAAAAAAACAGAAGGCCAAAATCCTTCCAAAACCATCGGAAAACCACCAATTTTGGCCTCCCGGGGCTCTCCCCCAGACACCTCTACCACGTGCTTCGGCGACACGGGTCGAAGATGGGAACCATTCCCGGTGCTGAAACAACACCAGGGTCCGTCCAGAGCCGCTCGGGAGACGCCCCGAAGCGGCTCTGGAGAGGCCCTGGGGGGGGGTCCCTCCATGGCGAGTCGAGGCAGCTGGCCACAGGCCCCCGGCCTCGTACCCCGACAGATATATATATATATATATATATATATATATATATATTATATATATATATATATATATATATTATATATATATATATATATATATATATATATATAGCATCCCCCAGCCTGCGGAAATATGGGACCCGTACCACAACGTGGATCCCTGGAGGTCTGGGCCCCTTCGCCTGGACCGATGTCTCACTCCGCGTCGCACATCTTGACGGCGCGGGCGGCCTGGGCACCCCCAAGAGGCGGAGCAACTCGCGAGAGTCCGGGCGCCCGGGGCTGTCTTGCGCCGCGAGGGGGCCTGGGCTCGAGAGTCGTCCTGTGAAAGGGGCCCTGGGACACACACATCAATACACACAAATACCAGGATTCCCCTATATTTTCCTATATTTCCTGGGTTTCCCTCCACTTCCCATATGTTCCCCCATTTTCTGGGGAGTCGACGATTAATTGTGTCTGTGTGTTTCTTCCCCTCCTGAGCGGCGTCCTGAGCCATCCTGGGAGGCGCGCCCAGCCGTGGCGACGAGGCTCCTGCCAGGGGGCAGCAGGGCAAGGCCAGAACAGACGAGCACCCGACACTGCGAGACTCGGCACGGCACGGGGGCGCTCCCTCTCCCCAAAAATAACCCAAATAATCCCAAAATGGTCTGGGGATTTTTTTTTGAATCTGCGTTGACAATGTTGGGGCATTTTGGGGAGTATTTTTTATTTTTCGTCGAAAATGCCCCTGCAGGGGGAGAGGCCCGACCTAATGCTAAAACAGACAAGCACCCGACGCTGCGAGGCTCGGCACGGCAGGAGGCGCTCCCTCTCCCCCCCCCAACGCGGGCCCAGGAATGCCGGCACACGCCGGGGCCCAGAGTGATACACAAGCCACCGACACTGCGAGGCTCGGCACGGCAGGGGGCGCTCCCTCTCCCCCCCCCCATGCGAGCCCAGGAATGCCGGCACACGCCGGGGCCCAGAGTGATACTCAAGCCACCGACACTGCGAGACTCGGCACGGCTGGGGGCGCCCCCTCTCCCCTTGGGCGCCCGAGTTATCCGGGGTAACTCGGGTCCGGGGTACCTTGGGTTTGGATTCCCGAAAAAGGAACCCGAGTTAGCCCTGACCCGAATTATCCCTGATGATTCGGGGCTCTGGACGCCCGAGTTGTCCGGGGTAACTCGGGTCCGGGGTAACTCGGGCTTGGATTCCCGAAAAACGAACCCGAGTTAGCCCTGACCCGAGTTATTCCTGATGATCCGGGGCTCTGGACGCCCGAATTATCCGGGGTAACTCGGGTCCGGGGTAACTCGGGTTTGGATTCCCGAAAAACGAACCCGAGTTATCCCTGACCCGAATTACCCCTGATGATTCGGGGCTCCCCCTCTCCCCTCCATGCGAGCCCAGGAATGCCGGCACAGGCCGGGGCCAAGAGTGACACGGACTCGAGCGGCCCGAAGGGCGAGACAGCACACGCCAGTCATGGCAGGCAGCAGCCGAAGCTGGAGCGCCGCAGCTCCCGTAACCGCCGCGGCCGCGGAGGAAGAATCATACACCTCTCGCCTTAAGTCGGGCCTGTCCCCCTACAGGGGGATTTTCGACGAACAACCCCCCCCCAAAAAAATATACAACACATAACTATTATTTGGGGTATGTTTGGGTTTTTTGTTCGTCGACAATCCCCCTGTATGGGGACACGCCCGACATAACTCTCGCCGCCGGGAGCGCTGCTCCCCCCCTGACCCCCGCTGGAGATGACGTGGGGGGGGGTCGTCCGTTTCAGGATCTTTCGGACCGCGTGTCGCGGCGGCGGCCCGAGCGACACGCTATGCCTTGCGAGTGGACAACGTGTCCCTCCGCTCCGCGGGGCGGGAGGTCGGGAAAAAACCGTCTGCCACGACGCCACGGGACCGGGAAACGCATCACGCGCCGCGCCGAGGCGCGGCGGGGGCCAGAACCGGCGAAGTGACACGCGGTCCCAAAGTTCCCGACCGTCCTTTGGCGCGCGGGGGGGGTCTGGACCCTCCAAGACAAGCCATTGCAGACCTCCCCCGTGGGAGAACCCTCCAAAACATCGTCCCCAGACCCCCCCAGGCCCTCCAAGATAGCCTGGAAGAGACCCCCCCCGAAATGAGACCCCCCTCCCTTTATTACGAAATCTGGAGTACCATCAGCGCGCTGAGCGACTGGGAGGCCCCGTTGGGCCCGCTCCGAAAGTCACTCCGGCGAAGGGTCACTCTCAATGGCAGCCGAGGGCGGGGCGGCGGAGCCTGTGGGCGAGTCCACCCGCAGCACCTCCCAGGGCTCGACCCAAACGGCATCTTCCGTTCTCGGCCTGGTTCCGTCCTCCCCTCGTGCATGTCTTCGCTCCGCCCTCGCGGCGGCCGCACGAATGCCGAAGCGAACACGGCCCACGAGATCGCCAAAACACCGTTTCTGGCCTTCGCTCGGACGTCCATTCCCTGTGTTTTTGTTCGGTCCCGTGCGTGGTTTCTCCGCAGGAGGATCCAGGATGCTCCTCGATGGCCCCCGCCGAGGAGCAAACTGCACACGTCCGAGCGATGCCAAGCTTTGGGCCGAGCCCTGCAGCACCTCCCGCTCGCCCGGCGAGGCCGGCGCCGCGGGGCGGCACTGGGGCAGGAAGGCCGCCATCTCGCGCGCGTCGGGGCCCGCGGCCGGCGGGGGGGCGGGGCGGGGGGGGGGCGGCGGGGCGGCCGCGGGCGGGGCGGGCACGGCTGCCCGAGGCGACGGCACGGCCGGAAGGGCCGAGGCGCGGCCGACCGCGGGGCCACCGAGACCGAGCGGAGACCCGCCGGCGGGGTCGGGGAGCCCTGCCGGGGCGCCCCGAGGCTCCCATCGCACTTGAGGACCACATCCCAGAGATCACTGCGAGCACCCGGACAAGTGTCGAAACAGCGTCGGGCGGGTGCCTTCCAGGGGCCGACACGCGAAAACCCTCGAGTTTCGGAAGTTTGGAGGGCTCGACATTCTTCCTGGTGATCAAGGCTAAAGTAGGTTGGAACATCATAAACGGAGGGAGATGTCATCCTTGGAGGCGCGCTTCCGAAACGAATATATGGTACACCCATATTGTAGTGGATTGCTTCCCGAGCGGTGTGGCCAGAGAGCGCCCGCCACGACGTATGTGCCATGAGATCTCTCGGTGCGCGCGTCGCCCCTGGGGGAGCGACGCGCACGTAGCATTATGTCGGGCGTGTCCCCCTACAGGGAGATTTTCGACGAAAAACAAACATACCCCAAAAATACCCCATAAAGGCTAACAACATTAGTCCAAAAATAGTCCCCAGACTATTTTTGGAGCATTGTTGTACTATGTTTGGGATATGTAATTGTTGTATCTTTCGTCGAAAATCCCCCTGTAACCTCAGGAAGGCATTAAGAAACCCCCCTGGGTTATTCTTAGCACCCGGTTTTCTCAATATTCCAGGCGGGCAGTTTTAGCCGAACGATACACTTAGCACCCGCCGCACACAGAAAACAAAATCCACCATCGGCGGCCGCCCCACTAACGCCAAGAGAGGGTGTCGTGACGAATGTCAAGGATCTAGCCCAGATCTTTGTGCACCTTTATACCTGGCACGTCTTGCAAAGCCTTGCTAAACTCTGTAGGGGGACAGGCCCGACTTACACACAGCATCAGTTTGTTGGGGTGACGCCGACCTGGGTCCAAAAACCTGTTGCCATCCCCTGTTTGGACACCCGAAATGGGTACCGAAAGAATGGGCACTATGCCCAACAGCAAATGTTGTCCCGAACCAACAGCGGCCGCTGTTGGGCAGGCGGCCTTCTGTCTCAAATGGACACAGGCCGCGGCGGCGCGGACAGCGGGTCCTGTCCAAAATGAACAGGAACTGCTGTTAGGCATCGTACCCATTCTTTCAATACCCATTTCGGGCGTCCAGACTGGAGGGGCACTTTTGGCTTCCGCCTGCCGCGGCTGGCCTTCCGCCAGGTGCCGCCGGCCGAGCCGCCGCCGTGCCCGTCGTGTTCCTCCACCGCCCGCCGCCGACCTCTCGCCGCCCTCCGCCAGGGAAGAGAGGGCAGCCCCCTCGATCCTCGAAGGCACGGCCCCTCTCTTGGAGCGCCTCCACTGGCCGCCAGGAGGCAGCCTACAATGAAGGGGCCCTGGGACACACAGATAAATACACACAAAGAAACAGATGCCCCATAGTTTCGCATATGTTCTGGGTTTTTGTCTTCCCCACCACTTCCCATATTTTCCCATATTTTCTAGGGAGTCGACGATTAATTGTGTCTGTGTGTTTCTTCTCCTCCTGATGCAACCCTCGACGAAAGTGATACCAAAAATGGTTGACGCTCCTCTTCGGTGTCGCAACCATTCACGCCTTGAGTGTCGCCCTCCTTTGACGTCGAAGCGGAGCGAAACGCGGTCTGAGCGGGTGCGCCTGAAGTTCCACGATGGCGGGCATTGTACAGGGGGCGCCAACAAGTACCTTGTGCGCGCGCGACAAGGAAACTGCATGGAGCCTGTTTTTTGGGGGATTCAGGCAAGTTTACTTGCATGGCGTTCGCCCCCCCTCGCCCCTCTTCAAGCGAATACTAGCGTGCAAGTGCCTTTCGACTTGCGTGATTTCCGCGCCCCCCCGAACGTCCAAGTCGTTTGCGGCTTGCTTCAGGCTCAGCCCCCCCCCCCCGTCCATGCAAGTAAACTTGCCAGAGTCTAAAAAAAACAGGCTCCAGACGCCTCGACAGACGCCCAGGAGCAGCGAGAGGAGGCTGGATCCCTGTCTGCCACGGAAGCCCGGAGCCAGCTGCAGCAGCTTCGTGTCGTGGCGACCCTGGCGCTGGTTTCTGACACCGCGTGGATCGTTCAACCCGGAACGAGCGGGGGCCGTTCGATCGCAAGATCGCTCCACGTCGGCCGATCCTGGCTGGGACGCCGGCGGCGTTCAGCCTTGAACGTCCGTGGCGGGGTTGCCGCCGCGCCGACGCGACACGAGCCTGCCGTATTATCCCTTGCCCCATCTTCCTCTACTCTTCCGGGCCTTCTGCTCCTCGATGGCCTCTCTGCCACAGGCGCCCAGCTTGCTGCCCCCGCTGGGCCATGTTCCAACCTACTTTGAGCCCTGATCACCAGAAAGAATGTCGATTGACAAGAAAGTGCCGAAACTGGACAGCTTCCACGTATCGGGCCCTTGCAGGCGATACTCGTTCGGCACTTCGCCAGCGTGTCGGGCAGACGCTGTTTCGATACTTTTCGGGCCGCTCGGAGTGACTTCTGGAATGTAGCCCCTGAGTACGGTGGGAACAACATAACCACCGCCCACCGAACTGATTTGCAAACCTCTGCCGCCAGGGCGCAGCGCGGACGCAAGGACAGGGAGGGGGGGGAATGGAGACGGAGAGTAAATGTGCCCAGGGACACACAAACAAATGAACACAAAGCCCAGGATTCCGTATATCTTCTCATGCTCTCTGGGCTTTCGTCTTCTCCTACACTTCCCAAAGCCTCGAACATGTTCCTGGGAGTCGACTACGACTTGTGTCTGCGTTTCCCCCCCTCGAGAGAGGCTCGCTCGAGAGCCGGGGGGGAGGCTCGGGGCGGCGGGAGGGCGCGAGGGCTTGGGGGAAGGTGCGGAGGCGGCGCGTCGAATCGGAGGGCGGGAGGTGGAGGGGGCGGACGAGGAGCACGAGGTCTGTCGCGCAGCCTCGTCTCTAATGCGAGATGACGATGAATAATAAAATGGGAGAGAACGATTTTTTTATATATAAAAAAAGAAAAAAACGTTTTCTGTTATTTCTGCCAAATTTTCTGACTGGAGGAGAACGATTTAAAAAATAGTTTTCCAGCCCGCGGCCGGTTTTTTCTAATCGTCATCCCGGGCGCCGCCGCGTGAACACGACCCACGGTCATTTATTAATCGTCATCCTCCATTAACAGGGGGGCGCCGTGACCGAAACTGTGCCCGAAGGTCAGCCCGAGAGCGACCGAAACTGGCGCCCCAAGGTTTCCAGCCGCGCCCGAAAGTTACCGAAGAGGTTGGTTCGAAACCAAGACGGTTTTTCATTTCGGTTGCAATTTCGGTCACGCTGCGTTTTCGGTCACAACTTCGGGCACGTTTTCGGTCACCGATTGGTTTCGGTCACCTACCTGTTCGGCTGGTAGTGGCCGGGTGCCATGAGGATTGCAGTGTAATGCAGATGTCTTCAAGGGTGGGCACACATGGCCCTGATGAGTCGATTGGGGCACATGGGCTCTCCCAACGTTGAAGGCGTTGTTCGTGAAGGCCAGGAGGGGCAAGCCTTCACGAGGAGGAGGAAGAGCAGGAGGAGGAAGGAGGGCAAAGACGCGACGGCTCACGCCCGCCAGCGCTCGCCCCACGCAACAGCCGCAACGGAGAAAGACGCGCAGCACAGGGAGTGCATACGAGAGGGAGAGGCGACAGCGGCAGGAGGGACGGAGACACACCAGTAAAGCACAGCAGCGGGAGCAGCGGTGCCAGCAGGCGCTCGGAGCAGGAGGAGCCCGAGGTGGAGCGGGAGAATGGCGACGAGGGAGGCGGGGGGAGGACGGGGAGGGGTAGAGGGAGCAGCAGCCTGGCAGCAGCAGGAGGAGAGGGAGGAGGAGGAACATGAGGAGAGGGAGGAGCAGCGGGAGCAGCAGAATGTTCAGAAGGGGCATCAAAGACGAAGGCAAGACCGGGACAACGTCGGACTGGGGCAACTCGGAAATCTCTGAGATCCGGCGATTCTGGAGGATTCGTTTATCCGACGCCCACCTAGAGTGGCTTGGCCTGGGCTCCACTGGCCGATTACCCCCCCTTGATGGGGATATAGGCTGTGTGTCCCCTCCGGGTCTCGAGGGGCCTGTCCCCAACTGGGGTGGTGGGATGGTGGGGCCGAGATACCACGGCCCAGGGGGGAACGATACTGATGTGTCGGGCGCCGCGGCCGTTCCCGAGTGCTTCGGAGCGCTCTACAAGAGCGCTCGGGAACGCCCTGGCGCGATTCCTCTCCCGGTCCTGGCCCCGTCCGACATCAGCAGGGAGGCAACGGCCGGATGCCGGGAGTGCCTTCTGTGTCCTGCCGGGTGGGCGCGGGATTCGCGACCCGAACCGACGAAGGCGCCCTGGGCCGCGCACGCTGCGCGCCGCCGCCGAAGCGCCGACTCGTCCGCCGCCCTCGCAGGACCCGACAGCGCGGGGCTCAGCGGCCGCGCGAGCGCGCTCGCGCGCACGTCATTCGACAGCCTGGCCGGGGGTGCTGCCGTGTTGGCAGCAGGGCAGGGCAGGCAGCGGTGCAGCTGCGGCGGCACGGCAAGGTCGTGTCGTGTCGACCCGGGCGCTGGTTCTCCTGACACCGCGGGGATCGTTCAACCTTGAAGAACGATCGGCCCTTTCCGCAACGTCCGATCGTTCAACATCGACCCATTCTGGGCCGCCGCCGGCGTTCAACGTTGATCGCCGGCGGCGGTGTCGCCGCCGGTCGACACGACACGAATCTACCGTACCGGGCTGCAGTGCGCCCCGAGCGGCTAATGATAAAAAGCACGGAGCTGCACATGCAGCGCGGCCTCGTCCGGTCTCAGAGCCGCGCCGATGCAGAGGCCGGGGGCGCCTGCTCCGAGGTGGACTGGAGGAGCCTCCTCAGGCGAGCTGTCGCGTAGCTGAAGTTCGGAGGCTCAGCGGTGCCTCGCTTCTGCTGCCAAGACTTGAACTCGTCAGCGCCCGACCAGGTTGGCACGTCGAAGATCGTTTTTCCCGCGCACAGGAAAGAAGGCTGCTCGAGCTCTTCTGCGGCATCGTCGATCCGAGACACCTTGGCCCGCAAGGCGGCGCCGACCTTCTCTACATATCTGCTCGCGAACGTCTCGTAACCAGAGCGGGGATCCCGCCCTACCTGGCCACCATGGTGCTTGCCGTGGCTGGCGTCGTACAAGGCGATCTCCCTCTGCCTCCCGAGCTTTGTCACCGCGACAGACACTCCGACGGACTCCCTTCTCAGGGCAGCAATGAGGGCTGCGATGTCCGCGCAGTGAGCGTCATCCTCCCACAGAGGTGTGTCGGTCCCATCGACTGTGAGAACAACGGCCTTTGATTGCAAACCGTGGGCGTTGAGGACGATGGAGAGCCACTGCGGAATGCGTGTGCCCTGCGGGCGGAGTGGCCTCTCTGACCGCGCGCCGTGCCCGTAGGGAGGGGTGTCGACGACAACGGTGCGCCCAATTGAGGTGCTGGTGCGCTCGCAGACCGAGAGCTCGTAAGGCTGGCCCGTCGCAACCATCGCTAGAAGAAGAAGCATTAGCATAAGCATGACATTTCGGTGGTCTGCGCTGATTTCGTTGGATCGGCGCTGGAGGCACCGCCATGGGGGACCCAGCGCAAGCAAGAGAAATCCGCACGGGCCGGCGCTGGAGGCACCGCCATGAGGGACCCAGCGCAAGCCAGAGAAATCCGCACGGACCTTCGACATGCTGTTCAATGATCCTCCGAACGTGCATCAGCGCCAACGTATGTGCTTGTCCGACGAAGCAATTCACTAATGCGGGATGACGACTAATAAAAAAGGGAGAGAACGATTAAAAAAATAGTTTTCTGCTATTTCTGCACAAGTTTCTGACTGGAGGAGAAAGATTAAAAACATAGTTTTCCTGCCAGCGGCTGTTTTTTTCTAATCGTCATCCCGGGCGCCGCCGCGTGAACACGACCCCCGGTCATTTATTAATCGTCATCCTCCATTATGACGCAGGGGGCGACATGAGGGCCGGTACGGGCTGTGTGCGCTGGGAGGAACTGGCCGGGGTAACACACACACAAGCACATTGGACCAACACACGCCCTGATGACCACCGATCCATGCTGATGCCGTGCTCTCTCCTTCAACATCGTGCTGCGCTTGGCCTGAATCTCGGGGTCCTTGCGGGAGGGGTAGGCGCCCGCGGCCTCGTCGGGCGCATTAAAAACTGGGGCGGTGACCGACCGTGCGGCCACCTCGACCTCCCGAAGACGTCACCACGTGGTGAAGTGAGCGTTTTCTTAGTCGGCGCTTCGACATTGGGCGGAAGGGGGGGGGGCTGGCTCCGGACCTCTGCTTAGGGCGACTGTTTGCGAAAGTGCGTCCTGTGGGGGAGCCTCCACCTGCTCGAGACAGGCGCCCAAAAGCAGCCAAGATCTACTCCACAGGAGGGGGGGAGGGGGGGCGAGGGCCCACGCCAATTGGCAAAACAATGAATAAGAAAACGATCACCATGGTCAGTCACCGCACTGCCTGGGGTCCCTGGCCCCCCGAGAATCGCACTGACTCACCATGCGGTGTGGTCATCGCACCGTGCCCGAACATCCTCCGATCTGTTTTTCCCCATCGGGATCCGCGGTCCCAGAGTACGCAGAAGGTATCTATACACCACCACCGTGCCGAGCCGGAGCCATCCTGGCCCTGGCATGGTGTAAACGCCCTCCTGGCCGAGGCCAGGAGGGTCTATACACCCTCCTAGGGCCCAGGATGGCCCTGGCCTGACACAGTGGTGGTGCACAGACGCCTTCGTCGGGCATAACTCCCGACCCTTTTCCATTGGGGCCATGTCTCGTCCCAGTCCCACTCGTCATGGCCCCAGGGCGCGAGAGAGAACGGGCCCTGGAGGCCAGAAGGAAGCAGCATAAAACACGACATGGCTTGAAAACATATATCCTCGGAGATCAGGGCTTGCGGCCACCAGAGCAACACATCCCACCAGCCCTTTCGGGCGTGAGGTGGTTTAGGGAGTTTCCTCTTCCATGGACCTGGACGGGGCGTTTGGCGGGTCGCTGGAGCGTCCAGAACGGCCTCGGCGAGTGTTCGGCCGTCCCCCCCTATGCACCCGCATTTCCCTGATCACATCAAGTCGCCTGGACATCGGTTCTGGATGGGCTGGTGGGGATACTTTTGTTTACCGACCGCGAGCGGAGGACAACCGCGCGGCGTCAGTAGGTGGATCGAAAGCCAGGCCTCGCTGGTGGGGATACTTTTTGGTCAACAGGCTCGCTCGCGAGGCGGGTCGAAAGCCGTCCGAACACTAGTCGGGGCGCGACAAGGCAGCAGGAAAGCTGGTGGGGATACTTTTTGGTCGCGGCCGCAAGCGAAGGCGCAGGCGGCGGGTCGGTAAGTCCGGGGCGCGGTCCTTCCTAATTTACAACGAGCAGCTAACTGCTGGTGGCTGGTGGGGGTATTTTTTTTTGGTCGCGTCCGCGAGCGAAGGCGCAGGCGGAGTCAGAAGCTGTCCGGGGCGCGGAAACAGGCCTAACTAGCTACTGGGCGCGCCGCAGGCCGGCCGGGCCAGCTCACAAAGCAGCTGCTGTGCCGCGCAGTGAAGCTGACTTGCTGAGGGCACCCAGGGAAGCTCGGGCAACGTGCAGTCTAGCAACATGCGAGGAATTCTGTGTACGCCGTGCGGCGTGAACCACTCAGAGAGCGCGAGGACGTACACGTAGAGGCCTACACGGCTCAGCTGGTGGGGAATTTTTTTTTGGTCGCGGCCACGAGACGACGGTCAGGCGGCGAAAGCAAAGTCCGGGACCGCTGGTGGGGATACTTTTTTTGTTGATCTGCAGCTCCAAGGACGATTCCAGAGAGCGGGTCGTAAGCTGGTGGGGATACGCGAAGCGTCTAGAACTGCCCAGACACTTACTTTTGGAGGACCGCGCAGACTTCTCGGATCTGCGCTGCACCCCCCGGCCCTGGCGCGATGAGCGCCCAGTGGCGGCGCCGGCGGCGCCGCCGAGGGGGAGCCCAGCGCCAGTCAGTCTGAGAGCTCCGCGCGGAGCTCCGAAAACTCAATGGTCCTCCCGCTTTGGCCCTTCTCGACGGCGAGCCCGGGGGGGAAGGAGCGAAGGGGCGGGCCTGCTCAGAAGGCTCCGACGTCCCCCGGCCTCCTGCGAAGTGTTCTGGGCCTTCCCCCAAGACGCATGAGCACTCTTCAAGAGGCCGGAGGGCTGCTGAGAAGTCCCGCCGCCTTCTCGCCTTCTGAGACGGCCTTCTCATTCCCACTTGCCTAGAAGAAGAAGAAGAAGAAGAAGAAGAAGAAGAGGAAGAAGAAGAAGAAGAAAACACGCCATAAGCATAAGCTTTTGGCGCTCCGCGCGGATTTCTTGGATCTGCGCTGGACCCCCCTCCCTGGCGCGCGGAGCGCGCCAGCGGCGGCGCCGGAGGCGCCGCCAGGGGGGTCCAGCGCCGACCCAAGAACTCCGCGCGGAGCGCCCAAAGCTCATGCTAACGGCGATTTGCTCCTCCTCGACCCCCCCCCTCGCTCGTCCCCGAGCTTCGGGGCCTGCGCCAGCAGCGACAGGGCCAGGGACGTCTTCCCGCAGCCCCGGCGGCCCACGACCAGCACGCCGTGCACCGCGGCCTCCGGGCCGCCCTCTGCCGCGGGGGGCGGCGGCGCCTCCGCGAGGGCCGCGGGCGGCCCGGCCTCGGCCTCCCAGAGGAGCTCCAGGAGCGCCTCGTAGTGGACCTCTCGGAGGCCTTCTCCTCCTCCTTCTCCTCCTCGTCGTCCTCCTCGTCGTCCTCCTCCTCCTCCTCCTCCTCCTCCTCCTCCTCCTCCTCCTCCTCCTCCTCCTCCTCCTCCCCCTCCTCCCACACAGGAAGAGCGAAAGGCGACACCAACACCACCAGGGCGAGGAGATGCGAGAAGCAGGGAGGGTCTCCCTGGTGGTGTGGTCCCCCCCCCTCTCGCAAGACATCCCCAGCCTCCGGCTCGGGGAGGCATCGTGGACCTCGTCGCCGGAGGTGGCCCAACTGGTGGTGATGGTGTCGCTTCTCCTCGCTCCGACCGCCTGCGGTTCGAACGGGTGGGGACTCGGAGGGGTGCGGACATACCCGTACCCATGCCTCGTTCTCGCCCTGTCGGGCCCCCGGGAGGCCCTGGTTGCCACGGCTTTCGTCTCGGAATCCTGGTCGGAGTGATGGTGTGGGTACGTGCCTGTCCACCCAGAGTCAGGGGACGGCACCGCGCGCCGCATCGGCGCCGACGGCGTGAAGAAGCTCCGGCTCCACATCGAGACGCATCGGCGGTGCGGCGGGATCCTCGGACCCTTCAGTGGACACGTACCAGGAGGAGACCTTGCCAGAAAAATTATCCCGGCAAAGCAACCTAACAGCGATGTGTAGGAGCATATCTGGAAGCATTCCCCTTAAGATTCAGGATGAGAATCCAGTTGTAGAATTCTGCTGTTCTCGCAGTTGTAGTCGCATTCGCGATGACAGTCGCAGTGGCAACGGCAGTCTCAGTCACAGCCTCAGCCTCAGCCTGCCTCAGCCTCAGCCTCAGCCTGCCTCAGCCTCAGCCTGCCTCAGCCTCAGCCTCAGCCTGCTTCAGCCTCAGCCTCAGTCAGTCTGCCTTCAGCCTCGGCCTCAGCCTCAGCCTGCCTCAGCCTCAGCCTGCAGCCTCAGCCTCAGCCTGCCTCAGCCTCAGCCTCAGCCTGCCTCAGCCTCAGCCTCAGCCTGCTTCAGCCTCAGCCTCAGTCTGCCTTCAGCCTCGGCCTCAGCCTCAGCCTGCCTCAGCCTCAGCCTGCATCAGCCTCAGCCTCAGCCTCAGCCTGCCTCAGCCAGCCTGCCTCAGCCTCAGCCTGCCTCAGCCTCAGCCTCAGCCTCAGCCTTCAGCCTCAGCCTCAGTCTGCCTTCAGCCTCGGCCTCAGCCTCAGCCTGCCTCAGCCTCAGCCTGCATCAGCCTCAGCCTCAGCCTCAGCCTCAGCCTCAGCCTGCCTCAGCATCAGCCTGCCTCAGCCTCAGCCTCAGCCTGCCTCAGCCTCAGCCTCAGCCTCAGCCTGCATCAGCCTCAGCCTCAGCCTGCCTCAGCCTCAGCCTCAGCCTCAGCCTGCCTCAGCCTCAGCCTGCATCAGCCTCAGCCTCAGCCTCAGCCTCAGCCTCAGCATCAGCCTGCCTCAGCCTCAGCCTCAGCCTGCCTCAGCCTCAGCCTCAGCCTGCTTCAGCCTCAGCCTCAGTCTGCCTTCAGCCTCGGCCTCAGCCTCAGCCTGCCTCAGCCTCAGCCTGCCTCAGCCTCAGCCTCAGCCTCAGCCTGCCTTCAGCCTGAGCCTCAGCCTCAGCCTCCCTCAGCATCCAAAATGTGGCCCGGGAATGGAATTCTGGGAACTCGAAGAACACGAAGTGGCCTACAGTTGGCTCCGGGCATTCAAAATCATGCCCAAGAATGGAGTTCTGGGAACTCGAAGACCACGAAGTGGCCTACAGTTGGTTCCGGGCATCCAAAATGTGGCCCGGGAATGGAATTCTGGGAACTCGAAGAAGACGAAGTGGCCTACAGTTGGCTCCGAGCATCCAAAATGTGGCCCGGGAATGGAATTCCCATGGGAACTCGAAGAAGACGAAGTGGCCTACAGTTGGCTCCGGGCATTCAAAATCATGCCCAGGAATGGAGTTCTGGGAACTCGAAGACCACGAAGTGGCCTACAGTTAGTTGGTTCCGGGCATCCAAAATGTGGCCCGGGAATGGAATTCTGGGAACTCGAAGAAGACGAAGTGGCCTACAGTTGGCTCCGGGCATTCAAAATCATGCCCAGGAATGGAGTTCTGGGAACTCGAAGACCACGAAGTGGCCTACAATTGGCTCCGGGCATTCAAAATGTTTCCCGGGAATAGAGTTCTGGGAACTCGAAGACGACGAAGTGGCCTACAGTTGGCTCCGAGCATCCAAAATGTGTCCCGGGAATGGAATTCTGGGAACTCGAAGAGCACGAAGTGGCCTACAGTTGGCTCCGGGCATCCAAAATGTACGCCGGGAATGGAGTTCTAGCAGCGCCACGAGCGATTTTGCGAGGATGTCCTAAGCGATTTGGGCTTCGACGGCAGCCGCCCCGGGTCCCGCCCCGACCCCCCTGAGGAGTCATGATGCTCTCTTTTGACCCTTTCAGAAACCTATCAGTCTTCGCTGTTGGGTAAAAATCTTGGGGCACGCAGCTGTCAGTCGATCTCTGAGGGCCGTCCCGAGGTGCCCCAGGAGGTCCCGTGGGCCCCTGGGGCCACCGTGGGATAAAGGAGCTCCCGCGGGGCACCTGCTGGCGGGTGGGCGTTTTTTTTATTCTGGGGCTCCACGTTTGGCCGACGGGCGGGGGTCTGGGTCTGGGTCGGTGCTCAGTCGATCAGCTTCGGCAGGTGCGTCCGGATCCTGACTGCTCGAGCAGTCGCCAGAAGCGGTGCTTAGTCCTAGCTCCTCCTCCCTCCTCCTACCTCCTACCTCCTCCAACCTCCTCCTACCTCCTCCTACCTCCTCCTGGCCGGTCGCCAGAAGCGGCCGCCAAAAGCAGTCAGGATCTAGTCCATGATGGGGGGGGAAAAGGGGGGGCGCTGGGGCCCGTGCCGATCGGCGAAACCATGAGCAAGAAACGGCGAATACTCGAAATCCCCAAATAATCGTCCCCCAAGTCCGGTTTTTTAAGGCGTCTTTTTTGGAAACGGGGGGGTCCAGTGTATCAGAGGGCGGTTTCAACCGAAGACGAGGGGAGTCCGGAATATTCAGGCACCCCGTTGACAAGGGGGTCCGGAAAATGAGGTTGCCATTGAAACGGGGGTCTGGTTTTTTAGGGAAGGATCGATTATTAAGGGATTTCGAGGAGGCCGATTCTTCTTTCAGGTCCGGCATGTCCTCCTACAGGCGGATTTTGTAAGCAAGCTGAAAAATAGTTTAACACATCCAGAAAGAAACAAAAACGGTAGAAACATCGTCCCCCGACTATTTTGACTATGTCTGAGCATTCCTCCTGCAGAGACGCATGCCCGACTGAATTCTCCTTTGGCCTGCCTGCCGTGTCTGCTCGGGCCCCCTTCTGGGGAGGCCTGCCAGATGGGGTCGGAGTAAAATTTGGTCGGAGGATCGCGCCGCATCGCCGATTCATCGGCGGTGCATCGGCGGATGCATCGGCGATGCACCGGCGATGCACCGTCGAGGTGGGCGATGCATCGGCGACGTCGCCGTGAAGCAAATCGGGCTCCGCATCGAGAAGCATCGGCGATGCATCTGCGATGCGGCGCGATCCTCCGACCCCATCTGCTCCGACCCGATCTATGAAGGGGCCCCTCCCCCGATCCTCGATCTGGAAAGCCTCGCAGGGGGCAGTGAACTTCGTACAAACTGAAAGGCTGCGCCAACAACCGTTTCGGGGCTATCGTGACCTCTCTGGGCCTGCGCTGGGTCCTCTGGAATCTCATTGCATGTCCCTCGGGGCTTCGGTCGGGCATGTCCTCCTCCAGGCGGATCTCGGACGAGGAATCAAAAAATAGTCAAACGCATGCTCCAAAATCGTCGATAAATGCTCCAACAATAGTCCGCAGGCGATTTTCTGACTGCTTTTGAAATCCTCCCCCTGTAGAGGGGCAGGCCCGACTCAGCTCGGGGCGTCGGCAGCCAGGCCCGCTCGGGGGGCTTCGCGGAGAGCCCCTCCCCGGGGGGCCCTCGTCGGGCGGCGGCGGGCACCTCTCGCGGGTGCACGTCTGGGGACCACTTTTTCCTTCGCGCCGCGAGAGCCAATCGTGGTGACACGTGGAACCGGCCGAGCGGGGAGCGAACCCAAAACTTGTTGAAAAGGCGCTCCACTGAGGCCAGGCGCTCCCATGATTGAAGTTGCGCTCCGGCTCCTGGGGGAGGAGGGGGGGGCCGAAGAGGACCTTGAGTGGACGTATCTGCGTGCGTGTGCTGGCTATGTGCGATCTTGAATGGAAACTGGAGGTGGAAAAGAGGCAACACCCTACACCTCCTAACCTAAATTGGAGGTGCAGGATGGAACTTGCACGTCCATCCCGCCTGCAAAACCCCGCCGGGCAATATAAACCACTGGCGGATTGGATCGGGATGGGCGTCGCACGTGATGGACCCGTATGGGTATGCAGCAGAAAGGCTATCGCAAGTGTCTCCGGGCTGGACGACGAAGGGGTTGCTGCACCTCGAGCGTTTCTGCACATTCAGCAAGGCGGTCTCTTCCATCTCGCAATCACCTCAATCGGCGGAACAAGTCGCCGGCGCCCCTGGGCTTGCAGCCACCGTAGCGGCAAGCAGACCGGCGAGCAGGAGGCACGTAGGGAAGGCGCCTGCTTTGCTCGGCAGCACCATGCCACCGAGGCGCCACGCCGCGGCGCCTGCGGCAGGCGAGGAAGGGGCCGAGATCGCGACGGTTGCTTGCGCCAGGCCGTGCTCGAGACCAAATGGCGACGGAGGCTGCGTTTGGGGCATCCCGGAGCCTCTCTTGAAGCCTCTGCAGTGCCTCGGGGTCTTCGCAAGACTGACCCCAAGACGATGTCATCGAGGGGCGTCGCGCGGACCGGCGGCGCCGACCGAGCTTTGTTTTTCCCCACATGCATAGTGGGGTTCTGGTTTTCTTTCCCTGCCGCGTCGCACCCGCGTTTCTCCTCTTCCTCCTCACCCCTCCTTCCCTCTTCCCTCCACACATCCAGGGGCTGGTGTGATGATTCCCTCTCTCTTTTTCTGGTTCCCCACATCAGCAC